CGAGATATTACAACAAAATCATCTGAAGCCGATGATTCAAGGAAGGAGACTTGGTGATGAGGAAAGACTTTCAAAACACCGCAGAAAGGAACGCATGAAAGCTGGGAGCAAATTGGGAAGGACCTTAGAACATGTTTATTGGGAGAAACTCTTGTGGGTTTCTCTTCAATTAATTTATTATTAAACTGTAAATAAGAAATCCAAGGAGAAACTGTTAGTTTTGTGAGGTTTATTGGGAGAAACCCAAATGGGTTTCTAAAAAAAGAAATTTGATTATAACCAAATGATTTATTAAAACTGAATTATTACAAAAACATAATTGAAATTATTATTTTAAACAAATTTATATAAAAATTTATAAAAATGAGCTTAGTTGTTGCGTGGGAGATGTCCAATTTTTTGCCATATATGCTCTACCAAATCATCTTTCAATTGGTGATGTTGATTTGATCTCGAACTCTATTCGATTCCCCATCAGGTTGGCGCTATTTGTAGGCATATTTGTAGAATATGTTTGATCCACATGTGAACTTCTGTTTTCTTCTCCTTGTTGAAATCCAGTAATATCATATTGAGTGTATCTATCTCGTTCATCTTCCATTATCATATTGTGGAGAATGACACATGTCTCATGATCTTTCCTATTTTTTGCTTTATCCCAGAAAGAGCGGGTTTTTTAATAATGGCAAATCGAGCCTGCAGGACTCCGAATGCTCGCTCGACATCTTTTCGGACACCTTCTTGACACTCCGCAAATAATTTGGCTTTTTGGCCTTGTGGAAGGTGAGTAGATTTGACAAATGTAGCCCAATTCGGATAAATACCATCCGTGAAATAGTAAGCCAAATTATATTCCCTTCCGTTGACAGAAAAATGTACTTGCGGAGCATGTCCCCTTAATATATCATCAAAAATGGGTGAGCGATCAAGAACATTGATATCATTTAAGGTACTTGGAGCTCCAAAATATGCATGCCATATCCAGAGATCATATGAAGCTACCGCCTCTAAAACGATAGTGGGTTTGCCAGAACCATAAGTATATTGTCCTCTCCATGTTGTTGGACAATTCTTCCATTTCCAATGCATACAATCGATGCTTCCTATCATCCCGGAAAATCCTCTGTGTTCTGCAACATTAAGTAGTCTCTGAAGATCCTCCGGTGTTGGCTGTCTGAGGTATTTCTCGCCAAAGAGACTTATTATTCTGTCGACAAAATTTTCTAAACACAACCAAGCGGTTGTTGCACCGAGCCGAGGTATTCATCAACGGTATCAAGCGCAGAACCATATGCCAAGAGGCGAATTGCTGCGGTACATTTCTGCAGTGCTGATAGACCAGGTCTATTACGAGCATCATTCTTCTGTTGAAAATAAGAGATTTCATTGGAAATCTGATCAACAATACGCAAGAATAACGACTTGTTCATTCTAAAACGTCGTCGGAAAAGATTAGCAGGATAAGTTGGGTTATGAAAAAATTAGTCATTCCATAAACTTGTGTGGCCTTCTTCGCTGTCTTTATCAATAAAAACTCTTTTTTCTTGACTTTCTAGGCTCTTGATTCACACCATAATCAATGAGTAGATTTTCATAGGTTTGATTCAATGCTTGGTCGTACGTTTGGTCCATCGAAGTTGTGATGTGAAGAAGAAGCCATAGTTGTTTCCAAAGGAAAAGAGATTAATATGATCAAAGAAAATGAAATGAGAAGATGAGCGGATTACAGAATTTGTCAAAGCAAATAAGAGAAGATGAAAAGATTACAGAAAATATCAAAGCTCAGAAAATGAAATGAGAAGATGGAGATGAGAAGATGAGAAATAAGTAATGAGAGTATGAAGATGACAAGAGAAGATGAGAAGATCAAAGCAAATAAGAGTAAGAGAACATATTAGCAAATAAGAAAAAACGATATCAAAGTGATGAGAATTTGTTATCTCGGTGGGTTAGAGCATTGAAGATACAAAGTGAGAGTCACGAGATACAAGCCAAACTAATAAAGCAAAAGAAAGTTTACTACAAGCCAAACAAATAAAAAGTGAGAGTCACGAGATACATAAAAACAAGCCATGTGCCAAATGATACAAAAGATGTGATACAAACGTTTAGAAGACAACAAACAGGGAAAAGTATTGTCTTCTCACTTGGTTTGTCTCTTTGTGCCGACATCAACTTGGAAATCTAAAACATCTACAAAGAAAGTGAAATAAACGTTAGCTTCTTTGCATATATAAGTTACCCTTTTAACTAATAAATCAACATGTTACTTGAAAGTAAAACATATATCTTACATGAAAGTAAAACAGAGACCAGCTAAACCGAGAACTGGTTAACCAACATTACAAACTTAAACGTAAACTTTATACCGAAATGACAAGGGTTTTAAATAAAACAGAAAACAGCTAAACCAACACAAACCTGGAACACAACTTCGGTTAAAGATCAAATACAAACTACTAATCCAACAACTCACTAAGAATCTGCTCCTTCATGGCTTCTTCCCTCAAAGTTAATGGTTCTTTTTTAGCGATTAAACTGTCAAGTAAAGCATTCCGAGACATTCTCTGTTTAACCGCGAGTTCCCTCTCTTTTATGGTCCACATGCTCTGAAACGCGGCAAGTGGAGCTTCCACCACCATGGCCTTATTCCCTTTGCCTTTAGCTTTGGCTACTTTCACACCCCGAAGGTCGCTTTTGAACTTCTTCACCATTCCTTATCTCTTCTACAACCTCAGTTGATAAACCCTCCTCTTTTTAGAGTTTCCACCATCTCACCATTTCTGGTAATTTCTTAACTCTTTCCAGGTGTGGTCAAGCGTGAACTTCTTTTTGTGATCATTGTAAAAAATCTCATGAGCGAGCTTGAGGACGTCATTGTCGTTCATTCCACTAGCTCTTTCTCTAGTTGCAGAGTCATATGAGACTATCTCCAATGGGTAGTTGAATAAAATTATTCAACTGTTTAATTAATGCAATGGGGAGTTGAAACAATTGTTGAGAATGACGTGGGTTCAATTTTGTTGAAACCATTCAACTAGTTGAATTTTGTTGACTCAGCCAAAAAGTAAGAAAAAATTAAAGATTTGCGCAGAAAATAAAAAAATTGGGGACATGTGGCATATAATAGTTGGTTAAAAAACTAGTATGGAATAAAATCAAGATAAGGACATTTGCTGTGATGTTATTGGTTGTTAAGATTTTCCACATTTTTTTCTTATCCAGATTATTTGATAACAATTATTTGGTTATAAATTATTTTATTTTTTAAAAAAAAATTATACCAAAATTTATCATTTTTCATACTCTATAAATAGAAACTAGGTTCATTTGATTTGGATACCAAAAAAAAACTCATCTTTTTACTATATTTTTCCTATTAACCTCCAATAAACTCTTGTTATATCTTTTATCCATTTTTTATTGAAATAGATCCTAATAATAATCCTGCATTTGCAAATCATGTGCGTGCTAGATCCGAGTTGCGTGATTCAAATGTACATCACGAATTGCAAGCAGCTTTAGTCAAACACATATGGGCAAAATTTGGAATGTTTAATTATTAAAAAGATGTTAAAGTCCTTTGTGTGTGATTTATTGGAATGTTTAATTATTAAGAATTTTATTGTTTGTGTCTTTGTGAGATGAGTTTATTGTACTAAATAAGTTATCTGTGTTTATTTAGTTATGTTGTGTGTTTATTCATGTATTGTATTGTATTTTAAGTTTTTATAATTTTTTTAAATAATAATCAGTTTTATTTTTTGTTTTTATTATTTGAAGAAAAGTTTAATTAAAATAAAAAACTAAAATATTTTTAAAAATTTTAATTTTTAAATATTATAATTTAATTTATTGATATTTATTATTTATTATTAATTAAAAACAAAATATTAAAATATTTAAAAAAAAATAATGGGGTAAAGTGTTGAATTTTATTAAACAAAACTATTGTAGAGTATAAAAGTTGAATGAATGTTAAATTATTAGGTTGAAGAAAGAGAAGATGATGTGGAATGTTAAAAAGAAAAAAGTTGAATGATGTTTCACCATTGTAGATAGTCTGATCCACAGAATTTGCAAACTAGCTCATTTATTTTCTGCCACCTCTGTTTACACTGAATAGGCCCTTGGATTTGACGACCCCCAGCTTGCGGAGTAGCAGAAAAATAGTTTGCAATTCATGTCCAAAATGCCCCAGACTTTTGCTCGTTCGACACAATGGGAAACTTGGAGGTATTGAGCCAAGCACTGATGAGTAAAATATCTCATATGGTGTCCATGGCCGACGTTCTCTTTTCCCTGCAGTCGTCTCTTCACGTATGGTAGATTCAACAGTGCACGGTTGAGTACTAAAGAGAGGATCACAAGTAAATGACTCAGAAGGAAATGAACTATCTTGTTGACTGTTCAATAGATCAACAAAATTTGATGTTCGAGGAAAAGGATATGAAGAAGACATATCCAGAAATTATGAAAAAACACAATGGCAAAGATGAGATGAAAAGTTTTATGAGAGAGATAGTGTTTAAGATGAGAAGGAGAGGTGTTTAAGATGAGAAAGAGAGGTGTTTAAGACGACAAGAGATATCAGTTGGTGTGTTAGCGTTTATTAGAGAAGTTAAAGGGTTTAGCATTCATTACAAATGCCCAACCTCTCGGATTTGACATGCATTCATCACAGCTATAATTTCCTTTCTAACCACAAACCATTTACTACTCTTCTAAACTCTAGTCCAACAACTTAGCATTTATTACGCTTAACTAGATTGCTAAACATAGCTAAACACTACTCAAAGATGAAATGCCTCATATAACTAAGCTAACCAGTTCTCAAAACTAAAATCAGATAACTAACCTGAACAACTTCCTCGTCTCTTTAGCTCTTTCCACGAAGTTACCTTCAACCATAACAAGAAACAAACAAACTAGTCATACACATAGTCAAACAAACATTGACAAATGTTTTAATATAACTAAGAAGACTAAGTTTATGAAACTTACTTCACCAGACTAACTAAAACCCCAACGGATATGATGACAACAACCAATGCCACAACTATCTTCACCTCCTTTGCTTCCTTACTCTTACGAACACTCAAGTCCTTCAACATCTTCAGTTCATCTTCTCCTATATGAACACAGTCGGATACACCATGGCCATAACGTAGCCTTGCCTCGAGAGACTTCAAGTCTTCCTTCAAGTCTATCACCTCCTCACTGATCGCTTCATCCCACCATTTCCAAACGTGGACTCCTTCCTACAAAACCAACAAAATCATGATCAAAATTCTAACTATGAAACAATAAAATCAGATACAAGATAAACTAACCAAGCTGTTCGAGCATGTGTAGAACCGCCTTCCAGGATTGATGGTTGTATGAGAGGTCATGATCACAGTTAGACTACCACAGAAGCAGCACTTCGATGGGATGCCGTGAAAACCATGACCCCTGGAGCTGATGCTTGATCTCGAGGAATCGCTGCTGTGACTAAGCGTCATCGTTCTTGTAACATAATCCGTAGAGGCATAAGTTATAATCCAGTTATGGACCCAGAAATACAAAAGATGATATCAACCAAAAATCCCCAAATCGACCCCCAACCCTAGCTAAATCTAACTCGATCTTCGATTGCACGAAACCGAAAAACAATAACCAAAATAGATAATTGGAGAAGGAGAGAAGGAGAGAAACTACGTGTTGCTATTTGTTGAAGACACTTGCGTGAGTGACGAGATGGAGGGAGTGGAGAGGTTCGAAAGGAGGTTCGAAGATGATGGGGAGAAGTGGTTTAGAGTTTCATCGGACAAAAGGAACGATGATCGGAGAAGCAAAAGATTGGAGAAGCAGAAGATCGTGATCGAGAGGAGAGAAAGAGAAAAGTCAGAGAGAACGAGGAAATGATAGAGGAAAAAAAACTCTCTTCCAATAATTCCACCGACCAATATAATTGAGACACGTGTACAAGGAGGATCGATCCTTGTGATCCCTAATTAGGGATCGATCCTCCTTATAAAACTAATTTTACATTTTTTTGGGCCATAAATGGGTTAGAAACCCAGGGAGAAACCTCCAATTAACATGGTCTTATAGAATCACCAAGGTAGGCCGACCCGGAGTCTACGAACTGGAAAACATGGAAGGAACACTGATTTCGAAATCCTGGAATGTGATGCATTTGAAGAAGTATTATCATTAGGCGGCATCACCTATCAACCATGAACTACGAAACAGCTTGATCCCTGAAAATGCTACGTAGGCAGCCTATCTTCGAATGGGTTCAGCTATCCCCCTCTTAAAACCGGGGTGGGGGGAGGAGGGGGGGGACTGGGTACGTATACGTTATACTTCCCTTTATACTTACAAGCATTATTTTGAATGCAGTTTTCTTCGGATTTCTGTTTGTGTTTTCAAAGTACGTTTTTATTACTTGCCCGGATTTTTTATAACTTAAGTTAACTTTCTTACATATTTCCCTCATAGCTCTCGCATTTAGTATCGTACATTCACATTTTCTATCTCGTTGCTGGCCACAACAGATAAGCTAAAACAAATTCCCTAAACGAATTGTAACCACTTCTCCTATATGGACTAGGGTTCAGTGACGTCCTTTACAGGATAACAGCGCGCTATATAAATTTTTTGGATCGATCCCACAACAGTTTACGGATAAGTAAGTTGATACACATCGCGAATCCTAACATTTAAATCCGATACACACTATCGCACATCTTTTCTCAATACCTTGGAATCAATAACGAACCGTTCTCACAACGCTCTTTACACTCCGAATTCTAAGAATAAAAACCATACGATTGGAATCACGGAAAATAAATGCAAGACCAAGCAATTCAATATGTTCTAAACTACAATCGTTATCATTTACCTTCAAAGCATTAGTCATTTCGAGCACCTCGGGCTCGGTAATAGAAACAAAACCAACAAATATAGTTCAGAATGGTTTTTATTCCTTGACAAGCTCGGTGAGTCGTTGCGTTCCGAGGTTGGAACCCGTCGGTTTGGACATACCAACCCCAAACGCAGCAGCTTCGACCGACTCGTTTCCTAGTCCAACAATAATCGAATCCTCGGAGACAGGACTCAAGGTTAGCTCGCCTCTAAGGCAAGCAGTGACCTTCTCAAACTCTTCATCGGCTCCCGCTAGATCAGCTCGCCACAGCTTCAGTCTATCCTCTTTGGCATCAAGAGTTGGGGCATCATCTTTCCTAAGAATCTCGATGAGTGAAGGTTTCCATCGATCTGCGTGAGGTCCAACTCATTCTACTTTGCCTCCGTTAGGTCCCTGAGATTTTTCTCCGTGTTGTTGAAGTGACCCGGCACCTTCTCAGTTAAGTCTCTCCTCGCGAACTTTACGGCTTTCATGATGTTGGCCTCATGAAGAGCATCCTTCTCTACCAGTTGTCTCTGCAAAGAATTAACGTCGGCTTCTTTCCTAGCCCTCGATTCCTCGAGCCGGACTTCCATATTGGTCGCCTTGACGCACTCGTTCTTCAGCGTCTTCTTCTCCGCCACAAGAGCCTTAATCCGAGCCTTTGCCTGTGTCATGGCAGAGAAGAGTTTCCGTTCGGCGTAGTCTAGTTTAGTCTGGAGCATGGTAGTGTCCTTTGTCGCCTCGTCAACCCACCGCTGATCTTTGCAAGCATCCGCCTCATATCCCACGATCAACTCGTTTATGGAAGCCAGAAGCTGCAAAAATAATAATAAAAAAGGTGTGAAACTCGAGCCAATACTTGAACAAAACGAGTGAAAGTCTTGAGAATCTACCTCGGTGCCTCGCTTAGACATACTTGCATAGGATTAATCTTTCGTAAGCGAATCTGTGGGCGGTAGCCGAACCCCTTTGTTATTGATCTTCGACAGAAACGTTGCCGAAGCAAAGGCGTCATTGATGAGAGAAGGTACGGGTTCACCATCGATTGGTATGTTACGTCTCTTCTACAGCACGGTGACATCCTTTCCCTTATCACCTTCTGAAGCAGAACGATTCCGGTTCAAGCCACCTTTGTGCTTCATCAGGACCAAAGCAGAAGGTCTCAACCAGCTCGGAAAACCTAAGACGATGACACGATCTTCAGCACCGGAGATGGGAAGCTCGGATGATCCGGTGGTGTCCTTTCCTGATACCTCGGAAGGGATCTCGGGAAACTTCTCCGAAACATGAGTGTCGGCTGGATTCGTCTCGGCAGCCTCATGAGTTTCTTGGTTGTTGTCCGCAACCTCGACATTCGGTTCTTTGGCCACAGGAGGGGTCGGCTCGGCCTGGGCGGTCGACTTCTCCGCTCTTCGGGCTTGGCTCGCTCTCTCTTTGTCGACCTTCTCCTTTTTTATCACGAAAAGATAATCGCACCATCTTTCTGATCGTATCGTCTGAGGAAGTAGAAGAATCCGAACTGATAGGAGCTCAAACGAGTAAGGCTCTCGCTTTCTCAACTCTCACGAACGAGAAATGCTTCGTCCAATTAACTTTATGAGCAGCGAGAATTTCCTTGGTCTGAGAAATACCTTGGGGAACTAGTGGAAGCGGATCGCGAACTGCAAGAACACACAAAAAGGGGTCAAAATCAAGAAAAAAGATACGAGCAAACGAAAAACTGCGAGTTGGCTACTGAGTAATCACAAATCCGTCTTGGTTAAGTTAAGAAAGTCGTTTCCGACGGAAGCCTCGTCAACAAGGATGTAGAAAAAATAGTCATCCCAAGAATTATCTTTGCTCAAAAAACCCTTGATAATCCTCCAAGATCTCTTATTCGAGGTAAAATATCTTCTCGGTTTAGAAGATCATCGAATCTACAGAAAATTACGAAAATGGTTGACCCCAATATTGATGCCGCACTCGTAACCATGAACCATGATTCCGATCATATATTGGAGACCTCGCGGCATGATCTGTCCCAAGGAAATCCCGTGCAACCAGAGATATCACAGTATCGGCTCGAGCAACGAAAACCACAAATAACACAGCTCGATGAAACTTTCATAAACCGTAAAATGGTTTGGTGGGGGATCGTCGGCTTGGTCAAAAGGCTCGGGCGCGACAAACTCTATCACCTCGTAAATCCCACAACGTTGCATCAGCCTTCTTAATGATTCTTCAGTCGAAAGAGACGAACTGGGAGGATCTGGTTTCTTTTTTTTTGACTTCCGAGAGATTTGCGGTTTCGAGGGACCAGCTCCGAGCTTCGCCATTGTGATTTCGGGCTCTTGTCTAGCTGCGATAGTATCAAAATCAAAGTCCTCGGGTTCGGGCTTTACGACACGAAAGAATTCGCTGCTTCGGCGTTCCAAGGAGACAAACCATCAAAAAGCTCTCCGCAAGATCCTTCGTATCTCGGTTGATGCACGAAGCGAAACTTGCAGAAACAGCAGAATTGCTCGACTCGGTTCGGTTCGACATCTCGGATCATGGAAGATAATCTGAAAAGACAGATGGATCTAAACGAGAAAGAATGTCTGAGGAGGATCAGGAAGTTTGAAGGTGGATATGAAAACTCATAAGCAAATCGAAAACATCAAAGAACTCGCCGCACCTCGGATGAAAACCCTAGGTTGTGCGGCGGACCAGAAGAGTTGACAAAAAAAAAACGAGAGAGATCAGAAAGGAGAAAGGAGAGAGCTAACTTTTGAAAAATTTTGAGAAGTAAAGATTATGAGAAGGGGGCTCGAGTTTATATAGAGACTTAGGCGTGTGGGGGATGCTTTGCCGAGGGAAACAGCGAACCACAATGGGCTTAGGGAAGCAAAAACAATTCTTAAGGCCCAAACCCAAGTCTGGAATGTATATATATATATATATAGATATATAGAGAATTTTGCATGTTCGGTTCGGCAACTTTGTGCCTCGACATCTTTTCATCCAAAAATAGCTCAGCACTCTCTTCACCTCGGAAACTCTTCATCTTGATAATTTTTGTCAACTTGTTTATTCGACGCGAGCAGGTCGCCGAGTCAACCCTAATAGCTCGGCTCGACAACATCAGCCGCATTAATCTCTTCTTTGCCTCGGTTTGGCAACAAAACATCCTGAATCTCTTCACCTCGGCAATTCCACGGTACGACTTCACCTCGATCGACTTGGGCTCGGTAAAAACAGAAGCAACATCGTCATCTCGGCTTGGTTCGTCAAAAAACGCACACCTTTGGATCAGCAAGTCTCATTTCTGTCAAATTTGGCTCGGCAAAACTTAAAAAACAAAAAAAAAGAAACAAAAAGGAACGAGCCGAGCCAAAAGCCATCTGTCGCCTTGGCGATTCAGCAGTTAACCTCGGTTTCGCGAATTTAACATCGTCATCTTCGTATACGAAACTGACAAACTGGGGGGCAAACTGTTGGGGTCGGTTTTCACCTTCACGAGTTTAACTGCCTAAAAAGACCAAGTGCCAAAATTGGGCTTTGGAAAGCCCAATTCTGTGATTTCTCCGAAAATGGGCTGAACCGAAGCGCAGCAGATACTGTAAAACGACCCAAATTACGATAGACCGA